GAAAATAACATTAAGAGTCTGGATGAGGAAGAGTACTACAAATACTTGGGTATCCTTCAAGCTGACAACATCAAGCACACTGAAGTCAAGAAAAAGATTAGAGGTGAATACATCAAGAGAGTGAAGAAGATCTTAAAATCCAAACTCAATGGAGGAAATACCATAAAGGCAATCAACACCTGGGCAATCCCAGTCATTAGGTACACAGCTGGAATAGTGGACTGGACTCAAGCAGAACTAAAAGCAATGGATAGGCAGACCAGAAAAATAATGACAATGAATCATGCCCTTCATCCACGCAGTGACATTGATAGACTTTATCTACCAAGGCAAATAGGTGGGCGTGGAATGCTACAAGTACATCAGATGGTTGAAGAAGAAAAAATGGCTTTGGAAGAATATCTGAAGAACAATGATGAAGATGCACTGAAATTAGTATATCAGGAAGGCTTACTAACTACTGGAGAGACCAAACTGGCCTACAAGAAAGACCAAATGAAGAACAGAATAGAGGCATGGGAAGACAAAGCACTACATGGCCAATACATGAAAAAAATAGCTGGGAAAGCAGATAATAATAAAACCTGGCAATGGCTAAGAGCAGGAAAATTGAAGAAAGAGACCGAGGGACTAATTCTGGCTGCACAAGACCAAGCCTTAAGGACAAATGCATACAAAGTCAAAATTGAGAAGACAGCAACAGACAGTAAGTGCCGCCTATGCAAAGAAGCTGAAGAAACAGTGGACCACTTGGTAAGCTGTTGCAAGAAGATTGCACAGACTGATTACAAGCAGCGGCATGACAAAGTAGCAACAATGGTGCATTGGAAGATCTGCAAAAAATATCATTTGCCTGTAAGCAAAAACTGGTGGGATCATAAAATAGAGAAAGTCATAGAAAATGATAAAATTAAACTGCTCTGGGACTTCAGAATTCAAACAGACAAGCACCTGCAACATAACACCCCAGATTTAACAATTGTCGATAAGAAAGACAAAAAAGTCTGGATAGTGGACGTGGCAGTGCCTGGAGATAGCAGAATAGAAGAGAAAGAACTGGAGAAGATAACAAAATACAAAGACCTACAAATAGAAATAGAAAGACTGTGGCAAAAGCAAGCAAGGGTAGTACCAATAGTATAGGCTCCTTGGGTGCAATCCCAAAACAACTGGAGCACCACTTGAACACCATTGGCATTGACAAATTTGCTATTAGTCAATTGCAAAAGGCGGCCTTATTAGGAACTGCTTCCATCCTGCGACGATACCTGTAATACCATCAAACATCCACATCTGCCTATCCCAGGTCCTGGGTAAGGACTCGATAGGTAGACAAAATGCCAAATCCAGTCTGAACATCTGGCTGACTGTGCGATAATCCGTAATAATAATACAGTTGGAAGGGACCTTGGAGGTCATCAAGTCCAACCCCCTGCTCAGGCAGGTAACCATATACCAGTGGTGATGAACCTATGGCACACGTGCCAGAGGCGGCACTCAGAGCCCTCTTTGTGGGCACACATGCCGTTGCCCCAGCCTTGCCTCCCCTGTGACCCCCTCCTTACCAGCAGCCCCCCTGGAGGAGAGTTGTCCCCGAGTGTGGCCCACGCAAAGCAGCATAGCCAAGGACATGGCAACCAGGCAGCGTAGACAAGACTCTGCCCTCACACCCCATCGTGCACAGTTGATGCTGTGGGACGCGGGCAGAGGGCATGGCCGCCATGGTGCTGCTGGGCTGCCTGGGTGATCTGTGGTGGACCCTGGAGGTGGTGAGTGGCCCTGCAGGCAGGCGGGATAGAGGCGGGGTGGGGGCAGAGCAGGGGCAGGGCAGGGGCGGGGCAGTTGTTGGAACAGGTGCAGGGCTAGTTTTGGGGCACTCGGTCTCTAAAAGGTTTGCCATCACTGCCCTATATCATATCAAACAAATGGCTGTCCAGTCTGTTCTTAAAAAACCCCCATCCAACCAGAGCACAGCCAAGCCTCTAACCAATCAGAACACACCTCCACCCAATCAGAACACAGCTAAGCTCCCATCCAATCAGTTCATACCCCCACTAGCAGTTAAAAGGAAGAAACAGCTACAATCACACATTGCTCCTAGAAGCAAGAAGCCAAAAACACCAGCCTGAAGATGACGAATGGGACTTTGTCGAAACGTCGCCAAGACACTTCCAATTTTACGCAGAAGAAAACCCGAATAACCAAAGACCTACATACAAACACCCGCAAAAATCTCAGAACACACACACACACAAACACACACACACACACACACACACACACACACACACACACACACACACCACATTCATACATCATGTATATATCATTCATAGGCATACTCCTCCAGTAAATAAGAAAATATATAGTCATGACCAGTTGCCATTCATAGCCTATGAATTTTTTTTAATCCTCTAAAGCTGTGGAAACTGGTAGTAAATTTGCACTTGGCCATGTACTGTGCATAAATATTTTAGTTCCTCCATTGTAAATTTCCCATTCTTCAAATGACCCTGAGTTCTAATCTTATCAAAAAGGAGAAAAAAACCCCTCCCTATCCAATGTGTCTGCATCGTGTAATATAAATACGACTACAGCGTCTCCCTGATATTTTCACTACTGTAAATCAAAAGCCCTGAAGATCAAAACATTTGTTTTATGGATATGTGCCGGATCTTGAATTTAGAGTAGGGCAAAAATAGTATTTCAAAATAATGCCCTGAGTTTGTGGATAGATAAATAAGATGGCCACTTTCTCCAAGTTTCTCCAGTTAAAGAGAATTTATCTGTGTTGATGACAGAAGCATCACTGCTGAGAAATCCCAGGGGGAGAAATGTTCCTCTTAGGATTCAACTGAAGTGAAACTAGGAAACTGCAGACCACTCAAGGTATAATTGCACAGTAAAAGATAGGACACTCACAAGTACACTGTTAGCAACCTTGTAACTAAATAAGTGCAAGAATATCTCTCTATCCATCCTATGAAATTGCTTCTTTTTTAAAATGGGAATGGAGAGAAAACAATGCAGAGGAACATTTAGCTCAATGCTACCTTGATCATTTTGATAATCTCTTTCTGTGACTTCTTTAAGTTTAAGATAATATTTCTGAGGTAAGATGATGTGAACTCTATGCAATCTCCAAATAAGCTCACATCAAGGTATCGTTAAACAACCTGTTTTATTTTTATTTCTTTACTAATGATCCACAGGAGAGAATTTGTGTTTCTTCAGAGTGGCCACATGGGGCCAGTGTTTTTATCAAACTGCCAAGATCTCTTTCCTGATTGTGTTTAGTAGTTCAAACTCATCAGCAGACATGTGATATTCAGATTTTTTTTTTTTTTTTAAAAAAAAAACCCTTATGTGTATGGCTTTGCAGTCATTGAAACTAACTGAATGTACATTTTAATGTTCATTCCCCTGATTTATAGCATAGTCATTTTTTAAAATAACAATTCTAAACTGCATTCTCTGGCCATTTCCCAGGACACTCCAATTCTAGCTCATTTATGAACAAATTAAAAAAGCACCATTAATATAAAACCTTCAAGGAGAATACTATGTGTATTCCATCATTGTGAAAGCTGTTCATTTATTCTTACTTATGTGCTTCTTATTTTTTGATAGGTTATTTTTGCACAAGAAACTCTTACATCTAATCCCATGACTGCTAAATTTGCTGAGAACTGTTTGTAAAGGAACTCTATAGTAGTAATAAAAATGTTACCTCCCTGTGTAACTACTGTGAAAAAGGCAAGTATAATTTTTATGCTCCAGCAATAAATACAAAAAAAGGCAAAAATGAATAAGAGTAGAGATGAGTAAGACTCACTAAGATGTGAGTACAAAAAAAGTGGAAAAAATCGAAACAATGTGTTAGGTTTCTTGTGTAAACCAGACAGTTACTGTAGCACTGATAAATGGATAAATCTTGTGAAAACTGTAGGGAATTGTCATGAGAAGCAAGGAAATCAACTTGTCAGTAACTGGAATGAGTTAAAAGAAGCAACAGAATCCTTAGATGTTAAAAGTAAATGGGAGGAAATAAAGGTAAAGAGATAATCTGAAAGAGATAATAAGCTTCTTAGCAGACAGGTTATCTACAAGGAAATTAGAACTGGGAACCTCCCAAAGGTGCATGGAGGGGAGAAGATTGACTTCAAAGAGTTAAAGGGAAGAAATGAAAGTGATTTAAGGAAAAAGATGGTAAAAGTGGTGAAGCTATGGGTGCAAGGTACCTCCACTAAACACTAAGAGATACACAATGGGAAAAAGGAGAGAAGCAGATGGAAGCCTAAAGCCAATGGGTTGGAAAAATGGAAAGAACTGTGTTGTAGTGGGAGTAGATCATGGCTGGTTTCAAATGTGGCCTACTGAGGAAAAGGTAAGAGTTGAATTGCTTGAATATAAATATAATATAAACTGTGATTTTGAGCTGTACTACCCTGTTAAGCAGCTTGGGGAGGCGAGGGGGAGCTGGTGCAATGGAGGGAAGATGGAAAGAAAGAAACTGAAATTACTGTACAGTATTGTCAGGGTATGCATATGGTTATCCATTCTGAAGGCGAAGAGCAAGGTTAAGCTGGTCTTGTCTGTTTATAACAAGAGGCTTTTGTGCCTCTTACTGGATCTGGAAAACCTGCCCATTGCAATCCTTAGTGGCAGAAGAGTTAACAACCAAGTTGCCTGAAATAATTAGAGAAGACACTGAAGGGAAGCACCCTTCCAGGGGAAGATGGCAGATTGAAGGCGGTTCTGCGAAAAAGCAGAGCTGACATTTGCTGACATTAATAAAGAGCCAATTAGTAGATCAGCTCCTACAACCTTCTCTTGATGAAAGAGAAGATTCAAGATCACCCAAGCTGTTTCCCTTTTGATTTGCTCCTCAGAAAGAACCTGAAAGACAGCTAATTCTGAAGGGGGGGGGGAGGGGAAAATCAGGAAATGAGGGAATTTCACAATAATTGCTCCAGTCACAAATATAGAGCTTTTTCAAAGGAAACTAAGTTTGCACATTTCCCTTGCTAACTATCTCTGGAAATTGCCTATTAACTACATCAAAGAAGTTAGACATCTTCAGAGTGTCAAGATTACAATTGCTGGGTGAGTGCCTTAATTCCTTAATATAAGAAAATGTATTTTATAATTTTTAAGAATTTAAAATAAACAGCAAAAAGCGAGATGAGGATTTGACCACAGAAAGTGTTAAATGGATTAAGGGCTCAGAAAATGTTGGCATACTGGAATTTGAATATTAAGGTTTTAATATTATTTTCAAAGAATAAAGGCATGTTTGTGGGAAAGGAAAATTGTTTTTGATATTGGAAATAAATAACTTATAATGTAATGTAATGTAGAGATAACTTTGAGGAGCTTCATCAGGAGATATGCTGAGATTTTGAAATAATTATGTCAACTATGTTGTGTCTTCTTGGGAACAGTCTGTCTCAAGAAGATATTATAGAACATAATATGTAAAAAAATCCATTTGAGAACAATATGAACAAGATTCTAAATAAGAATTCACCATCAGATGCAAACAGGAAATTGGACGAGGCTTTAAAAATTAAGAAGAAAATAAAAAGGAAAATCCCACAGAATAATTGAAATAATTTATTTTGCTAAAGTCATAAAAAAGGCTGCTTGAAGTACTGAAAACATTTGTAACAAGGATCAGCAATTATTTAAATGGATTGTTCTGAAAAACAAAATGAATAAAAAGTTGGTTTATTGATCAGAGTTAAAATGGGATATGTTGTTATTCTGGGTGATTCTTTTGGGCTTTACTGATACCGTTACAGGGTAAGGTATACTAAATTTGGCATTTAAACTTTTTCCTCTATAGCCATTTTATTTATTTATTTATTTATCCTAATTTTTTAGCATCTAAATTCAGTGAAGTTTGATGATTTTTTAAAGGAGAAACTATCTCTTTTTGTTATGTTAAACTCTTGTCTTTTGTTTATATTGGGATGCTGAGATTTTCAGGGTGTGATATGGAATGTTTTCTCGAATGGGATATGTTTCTCTTTGGGGTGATTTTCTTCGGAGGTGTTGGTATTTGGAAGGGGAAAAATGCGTATTAGAACTTATCTTTTTTTAAAAAAGAGAATGATCTCTTTTTATGATGTTAAATTTTAGGTTTTGTTCATTTACACTTCCCAATCAGGGCAGATTTATGATTCTTTAGGGAAGGATTTGTTGGCAGGTCATTCCCCCATTTAATAAGAAATTACCATCTTTAAACATTATTATTCTTAATTTTATTACTTGATTTTGTTAGTCTGCATTCCCTTTATGGTGGATATGACCTTTTGCAAACTATATAGGAAAAATTGAGCTCCTTCACTTTCTACTCGTCATCACCATCATTATAGTCATCTCTCTCAATTTAGAGAGATCTTCTCATTTTAATCAAATATGATTGCATTAAACAATTTTCTACTTATAGATATATAACACTTAATGGCCCTGTGGAAAGTATCTTGTCCATTTAACATTTTGCATTACTATTTAGCATTACGTCCTTGATTAGTCCTTCTTTGGATGGTTGCAGAACTAACTGTGGCAGGGCATAGTCATCTATTCTAAGTTTACACAATATGCTTAAACAAGTCAGTTAAAATTCTATATGCTTTACTGTATTCTTGCTTAGCTTGCTTGATTTTATAAACATATAAAATTTAATTGCAGTCAGTGTACATGGCTTATATATGCTATATGAAGCCAGCCTATTGGGATATTTATATTTCAATACACTGTGTAAGCTCAGAATGTTAGTTAAATTCTGTAACTAAATTAAAGGTGTTAAATAGATCTAGAACTGTAGTGAAAACTGAACCACATTATTCAGACTGTGTGAAAATAATCTAGGTCAGTGATTCTCAACCTTTCTAATGCCGTGACCCCATAATACAGTTCCCCATGTGGTGACCCCCAAGTGGGTGTGGCCACCAATAAGAGGGATAGGACAGCTAGGGAAAAGGGAAAAAAATGGAGGACAGCATGGTTTGGTGACCCCCGTGAAATGGTCATTCGACCCCAAATGGGGTCCCGACCCACAGGTTGAGAACCACTGATCTAGGTCATACCATTCTTGTAACTCTTTCTATTTGGAGGACTCCCTAGTTTCATTTTTCATTCCAAGATTACCTTGAACATTTTATTTAAGGGAAGGATAGTAAGCTTCTAATCTAACACCAAATTTCATTGGTACATAGGATTGTGATCTACAGTGCTTCCGTGGAGAAGCCCATGGTTTTAAAGTTTCTATTTAATATCCTTCTCCTTTTGACATACAAAATGAAATTGCTCCATTTACACAATTTCACCCTTCTGTAAATTTATGTTCAGAGATTATCTATTGGTTATCCCTATTTTACCAGTTACTTACAGTTCACTGACAGATATTATGTGTCTCAATCAGAGATAGCTATGGTCCTACAGGACACTGTGTTAGGTTCACCAGAGTGAATGTTGGAGTCTCTGTCTTGGTATATACTTCATAATCTTTACTTTGTGAATTTAGAATTTAGGATGCAGTATGGAAGGAAGGAAACCATCTCATGACAGGTTAAGATAGTATTTTGTACTCAGGGTCTTTTTCAGAGCTTTGGGCCATTTCTGTTTCAGGTAGGACAGTCGGTATAATTATTAATCCAACTCTGAGCAAGAAAATGTGTAAAAGCATCATAATATTAAGTATATCTGCCATCCCTTCCTGGTCTTTGACTTAGTAATTTATGCTTCATGGCAGACTATGGGAATACATCCTTTCATTATACTGTATGTGCTAAGAGCTGCTAAGAATTCTATTTAATGGTTTTGTTTAAATTGCCCATTTTATATTTAAAAATCATATACAATTAAAAGTGTCCACAAAACATATTTTTACTTAAAGGGAAAGGAAGACAAAGCATGACCACATCATAACTTATCCTAGATATCACAGAATTGCAACTATATTTAAAGAAGCTTCAGGAAAAAAAAAATCCACTTCCAATGGTTTCTTTGACAGAGTTCCCAATGTTTTGTTATCTTCTATCATCATAAAAAGTTTGCAATTTATTATCTACATTTCTTGATATTTACATTTTAGATGCTTCTCATTTAGCCATAAGTACCCCCAAGAGGCTTTGTAGATTACCTGCACAGTGTTTCTCAACCTTGACAATTTTAAGGCATGTGGACTTCAACTCAGAGAATGCTGGCTGCGGAATTCTGGGAGTTGAAGTCCACATGCCTTAAAATTGTCAAGGTTGAGAAACACTGTGCTAGAATCAAGACTAGCAAGGGGTACTCAAAGACTCAGGCAGTATGTATTCAGCATAAAGCAAAGACATTTCCAAGGTCAAAAGAAGGAATGTGAAAGCTTATGCATTAATCTGCTTGAGAGTAAAGGTAGTTAGAAGTGTGAATGGCAGGTAAAATGATAGGTTGTCAATTAGAAAACAAAGGGCAAAACATTAGAGAATATTTTAGGCAGAGGGTTTTTTTTCCCTCTCTCTAACAAAAACAATCAGCTTCTGTTTTTTTTAAATAGTAATCTTATTTAAGATTACAATGGCAGTAGTAGAAACTAATGCAAACTAAAAAGAATAAAAGAATAAAAATAGAAAGAAAAAAATGCAGTAAAGAAATATATAAAGAAAGTACTTCCCCCTTCATCACAACAAGTATAAACAAAGTTAGTATATTATCACTTTCTCTCTGCGTGCAACAACTGATCTCTTCTTCCCATATAGAAAGGTAGAAAGAACCTCAGAAATATTGTAACTTGAACCCCAGCTCTTCTAATGTCCTGGGTCTCTGTCTGTCTTTGAGAACCATAGTGTTGGCTAACTTTCTACAGGAGCTGCACCTCACATTGGTTGGGTGTGCTTGTTAGAAGCTGCATGGAAAGAGAAAATGTGGACCCTTCCTTGAGAGGTGGAATGGAGGGAAAGCCCAAACACCAGTGGGACGAGACAGCCAAGGCTCCTGGCCTGTAGCAGGTAACCGTATACTGGTGAGGGCTGGGTCTCCCAGGTGCTCTGCCACCCCCTGAGGTATGACCACAACAGGGGGAATGGGAATTGTGGTTGCTGAGTGAGACAGTGAGATGGGCCCTCACTTAATGAAGGCAACCAGTTATGACCAAATTATGGGCTCAATTGTGGTTGTAGGTCAAGAACTTTATATTCTTTTGAGTAAAATGGCATTTGGATATTCTATCTGAACCTTACAGTGTGAGTAGGCTCACTAACACCAAACAATTTTAAATAGCTTTTTAGTCCCATGCCTTTTTAATACTGCTTAAATTCTGCCCAGGAATGGTTTTGATCTATGTCCTCTCTAATTCCCAAATTGTGGGATTAGCCTTGCTTGATTATTATTGATGCAGTATCCATTTCTAAACTATTTCTTTCTGTTCTATCTTCAATGAAACTTTTAAAATGAAAGGTCTTTTTAGAGTATTTTAAAGCTTGCTTCATTCAAAATGTAGCCTCAATTCTCATCATAACTTAGAAGGAATCTCATGTTTTCTAGATCAGGGGTCCCCAACCTATGGGCCGTGGCCCATTATGGGCCATGGCCTACTGGCCACTGGGCCGTGGGACAAGCTGGCTAGTGCTAGCACCTGCAGACCCGTTTGTGCATGTGTGCAGGGCTAGTGGTGGCGGCTAGTGCCTGTGCAAATGAGGCCGCTAGTGCATATGTGGGTAACCCAGCCCGTTTGCACATGCGAGTGGGGGCTAGTGGTGGCTAGCACCTGTGCATATGTGCAAATGGGATTGCTAGCCCTGTGTGGGTGCGTGAAGCCCCGTTTCTGCACATGCGTGCACATACGTGCACAAATTTCCCAGCTGCTCCCTTTCCCTCTGGGCTGCCAGCATGAAAAGGTTGGTGACCTCTGTTCTAGATCATAGACCCATGATATCACCCAATTCTAGGATTTATAAAAGGGTAGTAAATCCATAAGGCTAATCTTGTTTTGTTCAGTCTTAAAGACTCTTGCTGCCACCTCACGCTAAATAAAGAAAACCTAAACCCTCTGAGAAAAGCCAAGTGCTGATTTATCTGCCCTATATTTACTTAGGCAATATAAAGTTACTGTAGGAGTA